AGCCAGGAGGTGAGGCTGAGGAGCCTAACGCCGAGGGAGGCCCGGAAGGAAAAGACAAGAAATGAAATCGGGCCTTCTCGGCGGTGGCTCCTCGCCTCTGGAACAACCTACCTCCTGAGCTTCGTGTGGCTCCCTCGCTGGGTATCTTCAAAAATCAACTTAAAACATGGATGTTTCGGCAGGCCTTCCCTCCAGTTAATCCCTGATGCCCTCTTTCCCCTGCCTCTTTTATTACGTCTATTTTATGTAATACTGTTTTATATATACTTATATAAAACAATCTGTCTGTCTCAAGAAGATTGGCTCGTTGCTATAGACCTGCAGGATGCCTACTTTCATATTTCAATCCATCAACATCACCAAAAGTATCTTTGATTTTTCTTCATGAATATGGCTTATCAATTCTGCGCCCTTCCCTTTGGGCTCTCCACGGCAGCAAGAACTTTTACGAAATGCATGGCTCCGGTAGCAGCATACCTTCGTCTACACAACACTACGATATTCCCATATATACAATTGGTTGATCGTAGCTGCTTCCTTCCAAAAAGCTGTGTGATACACCAACTTCACCCTTCAAACTCTGGCAGACCTGGGCCTGAAAGTCAATGTGGTGAAATTCCATCCAGCAATCTCAGGTCATGGACTGTATAGATGCACGTCTCGATTCAATCAGCATGAGAATCTTTTTTCCACCAGAAAGAGTTCAGAAATTACGCAGAGCAATTCTTCCCTTCCATCCTTTCACCAAGAACTCTGTCCACCACATGCAACATCTTCTGGGCCTCATGGCATCAACTACATCATCCCTCCCACAGGCAAGGTTGAAAATGCAATCTCTACAGGCCTGGTATCTGTCTCAATTCGATCCAATATCAGACAGACCTACTAAGTGCCTGTGTGTAATGCCGGAGCTCGCAAGTCAGCTCGTGTGGTAGACATTTCTTCCACATCTGCTCATGGCTGCCCTTTCTGACCCATTCAACTGATGATTCAAGTAACAACAGACACCAGTCCTACAGGATGGGGTACACACTGTGGTCCTCACAGGATTCACGCTCTGTGGTCCAAGCCAGAGAAGTTTCTTCATATAAATCACTTAGAAATGCTGACAGTCATCAAGGCATTTCGGGCTTTTCATCCATTAATAGCAGGTCAAGGTGTTCAAGTGGCCACGGGCAATACCAAAACCATGTACTACATAAACAAGCATGGAGGCACCCACTAGATGTCGCTTTTGTATCTATCAATACATCTGTGAGAATGGTGCTACGAACATCACATTTTTCCAATCGCCATTCATGTGTCAACAGACAACAACGAAGTAGCCAACCAGTTGAGTCGAATGACCATCCAGACTCACGAATGGGAGCTTGACCACTCAACCCTCAAATGTTCCTAAGAGGCTTACGCAACACCCGTTCACCCACTCGACTCCCATTGCTGCAGTGGTCGTTACAGGTCGTTTTGCGAGCCCTGACCCCATTCGAGCCAATGGCTTCATCGGACTTTCTACTCCTCTCCTTCAAAACTTTGTTCTTGGTTGCAATGACTTCTGCAAGGAGAATTAGTGAATTGGCTGCCCTTTGAGCTGATGTCCATATCTACAGTTTTTCCCAGACAAGATAATTTTGTATCCTGATATCTTCTTCCTTCCCAAAGTTGTGTCAAGTTTCCACGTTGAACAACCTTTGATTCCCCCATTATTTCCTAATCCTTCCGCAGAAGCTGAGCGCATGCTCCATTCACTTGATGTTCAGCGGGCGTTAGCGTTTTATACCTCCAGGACTAAGGACTTTCACACCTCTTCCAGACTGTTTATATGCTTCCATGGCCCACATAAAGGATCTCCTGCATCCTCGCAGACAGTTTCGAGATAGATTGTGTCTGCTATAACATTGGCCTATCAACTGGCTGGCAAAATTCCACTAGAGGCTTTGAAGGGACACTCTTCAAGATCCATGGCTACTTCAACTGCCTTATTGTGTGGCGTTGATGTTTCGGACATTTGCCGATCAGCCACCTGGTCCACATCATCCACCTTTTTAACACACTATCGGCTGGACCTCAGGGCCAAGAAGGAAGCAAGTTTTGGAAGAGCTGTATGAACTTCATTGTTGGCGTGACGGCCCTCCCTCCGGTAAGTGAGTCTGCTAGTCACCCATTTGTGTGGATTCACAGAGGCCATGAAGAAGAAAGAGAGGTAACCATGGTTCTTCGAGTGGTCCTCTGTGCATCCATACATCCCACCCAGCCTCCCCAGTGTCTGTCACATGTTGTCTTGAGCTTTATTTGGGGTCAGAGCGGTGGACATTTGGAACTGACATTTGACAGCGGTGGGCATTTGGAACTGAGGTAATGGGCGGGCAGAGCATGCGCGATATGGGGCAAAGTACTATTAAGTAATTGTTTTAAGATGTAGAATCTTCCGAGGAGTCCTGTGCAGGCACGGTCTAAACCAATTTGTGTGGATTCACAGAGGACCACTCGAAGAACCATGGTTACAGGTAAGTAACCTCTTTTTTTCTTATGTAAAGAAAATTATTGTGAATTGACATTGGTTGTGTTTTGCAGCCAGATAATGCATTATTATTCCTTTGTGTGGACACCAAGTGTTACTGAATAATAATGAAACAGCATTTGGAAGGAGTGCTAGTAGTATGTCTAATCGTGGGTTGGATCTTCATCCCTCCTGCTTTAGAACCCTGCAGCCAAGAGACATGGCTTCTGTGCCATGCTTGAAGAATGGCTTTGGGAACAGGCCATGAAGATTGGGTTTGAGAAAGAGGGTACAGTCTGAACTCTGAGGTTCTCTTAACATTCTATGCTTTATTATGCATGCTAACCTCTGACAGCTATTTCAGAGGCTTGCTACATTCCCTGCCAAAAATCTTATTCTTGGAGAGAGAAGTAATAATTCTCATTAATTGAATTATTTCCTTTCTCATTACTTTCTTATGGAAGAGGGAAAGCACAATTAAGGGTGCATGTGGACTACCTGAATGAATAGTGTTTTTTTAGATGTAAAGCTTTATGTGTGAAGAGCCACATTTGGATTGATGGGATACAAACAAACAAACAAAAATTCCCAGGCATTCTAAAGGCACAAGGATTAGGAATATAATTGTATTGGTTTCTTATAAAGAAAGCAGTAATAGTACTAAATTTGTAAATAAATAGTTGTGAAGGAATTATTTGAAAGATTCTAAGTGGAAAAAAATCTACTTCTGAAGCTCTAAGACTTGTTATGCAAATTTACCAGATCCTCCATAATATCTTTGATCAAACTATAACAGATTAGACAGCTGTAGGGAAAAAAAATACTGCATTGTATAATTTATTAGCTGTAATCAATTATGCTGCAAATTTATACAAATACAGTGGTGCCTCGCTTAGTGACGTTAATCCGTTCCGGAAAAAACGTTGCTAAGGGAAAACATCGCTAAGCGAAATTAAAAAGCCCATAGAAACTCATTAAAACACGATTAATGTGTTCCTATGGGCTTAAAACTCACCTTTAAGTGAAAATCCTCCATAGCACCACCATTTTTGCTGCCTCTTAAGCAAGGAAAAACAGTGGGCAGCCATTTTCAAACCACCAATCAGCTGTTAAAAAAGGGTCACTTTGCCATGATCGCTTCCCCACGATCATCGCAAAGCGAAAAAACGTCATAGAGACCATTGCAAAGCGATCGCTTTTGCGATTGCAAAAACTGCATCGCTAAGCAATTTAGTCGCTCAACTGAGCGATCGCTATGCGAGGCACCACTGTAGTCAGAAATTTACAGAGCCTGCATTGCAGTTTCTTGTATATACAGTACTGCATATGCATATTAGTTTAATTTATTTGTTAATAACTGACTATATATGAATCCCTCCCATTTGAAACAAATATTCTTTGTATACAGTTTATTTAAATCACTTCTTTCTTTCATTCTAGGTCTATGTGCGATTAAGACCATTCTTCAGAGAATTTTTGGAACGTATGTCACAAATCTATGAGGTAATATATCTTGCCTAGGTTATGCATCTTTAAGAAATTCACTATAGGGCAGATAATAATAATATCCTCTCTTCATTTTAGATCATTCTTTTTACTGCTTCTAAGAAGGTGTATGCAGATAAGTTGCTGAACATACTAGATCCAAAAAAGCAACTGGTCAGGTAAGCTGACCACAGAACATTGCATGTTATTTCCTTTAATAAGAATTCACAATTTGTAAATTGGTGAAAATGTCAAAATCATAGCCCTCTGAAAAGACAAATATACCTTTTCAGACATATAAAAGGCACAATGTTAGATGTAAAAGGAAGACAGAAAATGTTGGTATGGCAGAGTCTACTTGAGCCCCTAACAGCCTGTAGGATTTTAAGGGAGAACAGGAGTGGCTGGCACCAGGAATAAGAGCACTTTTACATTATTAGGATGCAGTGCAGAAGACTTAATTAGGTTTGGGTAATCTCCACATTGCTTTAATTTGATATTTTAAAAATATTCTCCTCTTTATTATTTTCTTCCAGAAGAATACAATACTCCACTTCCTGGTGGACTTCATTGTTAAAAGAGAGAGAGAGACAGACAGACAGACACACACACACACAGTGTAAAAAACCACATTTATTTTTAAATAATTTATTTTAAAAAGCCCAAATGCAACATCGACCCTAACTTTTCCTGGATAACATAAACAACTTTATTAGTCAAATGTTAACATTTATTTCAGAGTACTTAAATATGGTTTTGAAGAAACGTAACAAAATTATCTGTGTTAAGTTTTAGATATTTGACTGGGTTGCAAGACAAGGCAAAACAAAACACAAGACTTTATTTAAAGTTTATTCTTAAAATTCAGCCTATCAAAAAAGAGAGAAAAAATATTTAGGAAAAAGCATCGTTACACACATTTTTCTACATGTAATATGAATATGTTTTTAACTAACTGCAGGCATCGACTTTTCCGTGAGCATTGTGTTTGTGTACAAGGGAACTACATAAAGGATTTAAATATCCTTGGTAGAGATCTCTCAAAAACAATCATTATTGACAACTCACCACAAGCCTTTGCCTATCAGGTGAGTGTTTTTTCTGTAGTTCATTTTTAAATTTTACAAAAATTACAAAGGAAAATAAAATCAGAGTGTATGTTGACATTGCTTCATGTGGTGTTAAACAAATAAAAAAGTAGTTTATCAGATAAGTGGAAACAGTACTAAAACCATTATCAATTTCATGTTTAAAACCAGGGTAGATTTGATTACAGTGGGGTCTCTACTTAAGAACTTAATCCGTATTGGAAGGTGGTTCTCAAGTTGAAAAGTTCTTATGTTGAATCTGCATTTCCCATAGGAATGCATTGAAAACCATTTAATCTGTATCTGCTCTTTTCCGTCCATAGAAACTATAGTGGAACCGATAAGTGGAAACAGTACTAAAACCATTATTAATTTCATGTTTAAAACCAGGGTGGATTTGATTAAAATCAAATTGATTTAAGTCACAATTTAAATTTAAAAAATTAAAAAATGTAAATCATTATTTAAATCATGAATTAAATCACTTTGATTTTTTAAAAAAAATTATGATCTTTATCCATCCTTTTTAGAACTGTCCATTGCAAAGGAAATTTTATTACTTAGATATTTCAAGTGCTAATGAAATTTATTCAGAGATATGCCACTTGTGGTTATGTGCTTAGATTTTTATTTTATTTATATCCCGCCTATCTGGTCGGTTAAGACCACTCTAGGCGGCTAGATTTACAGATTTGTCCCTACATGTGTGTCTGAATTAAATATCACTATGTTTTGGAATTTAAAAAAAGCAAGTACAGTGGTGCCTCGCTTAACGAGCGCACCGTATAATGACGAATTCACATAGCGATCCATTTTTTGGGATCGATAACGCGAAGGCATACTGACGGTTCCAATGAGCAAAAATCGCTTAGCAACGATCGGTAAGCGTTTCGCTTACTGATCTTCGTATAGCGGTTTTTTAAAATCAGCTGATCGGCGGTTCCAAAATGGCCGCTGGAAGACCCAAAATGGCCACGTGCAGCGTTTTTGCACCCTGCCTTGTGTTTCTTGCTCTGGAGGGAGCCTTGTGTTTCTTGCTCTGGAGGGAGCCTTGTGTTTCCGAGGCCGCGAAAATGGCTGCCGCTATGGGGAAACATTGCAGAACGGTGAGTTTTGGGCCCATTTGGAATGCATTAAACGAAGTTTAATGCGTTCCAATGGGCTTTTCCATTCCGTATAGGGATGTTTCCCCATAGCGAAGGTTAATCTGGAACGGATTAACCTCACTATGCGGGGCACCACTGTACCAGTAATGCATCTTTTTTGCACTGTTGTTCTTGTGGGGAGGTACATAATACTTCTTGAAAACAAAAGTCCTCCTTCTTCATTGTCTCTGTGAACTCGCACAATGGGCTATTCTGTGTCCTTGGCATGAGTTCACAGATGACCCTCAAAGAACCACAGTTACAAGTAAGCAACCTATTCTTATGTGACACAAATACGAGGGAGTGCTCCTAAGTATTGGGCCTTTCCCAGAAATAATTGAGCTAGGAAGCTATAACTGCCACACTATTCTACATATTCCCCCAGGAAGTCAATGCACCTGTGACATCTGTCCTGCAGCTTCTTAAGTCCCTGCAAATACAATTCTTCCGACTGCAAACCACTCATTTGCAGCATTAGTTGCCTCCAGAACACTCCCAACTTGTCCCTTTAGGTGTTTTTTGAGTTTGGGGAACAGATAATAGTCAGAATAGGGTGGATGGGGCATCCCTTGAAAGCCTAAGGAGGTCGGTTTTGTCATTGTTTCACCTGCAGTGTGTGACGAGGTGTTTTCATGCAACAGGATGACATCTTTGGAGAGCTTTCCTCTATGTTTTTCCTCAACTTTGTCAATAAAGCACAGTAATATTTTGCATTGATGGCTGAACCCTGTTGGAGGTAGTCCACCAGCAGAACTTCCTCCTTATCCCAAAAAAACTGTTGCCATTTGCTTCTGCACCGACCTTTACACTCGGAACTTCTTTGGCCTGGGGGAACCACTGTGCCTCCATTAGACTGTTCCTTTGTCTCAGAGTCATAACAGTAGACCCATGTCTCATCATCAGTTACCAGTTTGCCCAGGAAATCTGACTCATTTCTTGCAAAATGTTTCAAAACAGCCACCAGTGACTCCACACGTTTCCTCTTTTGTTCGGTTGTCAAAAGTTTGGAGATCCACTTTGCTGCCAGGTTTCTCATTTCCAAGTCGTTGTGGATAATGGCACCAACTCTTTCACATGATATTCTCAGATATACTGTGTATAGCAATACTTTTGGCTGATATTCAGCGGTCCTCCATGATCATGTCATGGATGGCTTTCACATTTGCAGGCACAGAGACAGAAACAGGCCTTCCACTGGATTTCTCACTTTCAGCACCGAAATGACCAGTTTTAAAATCGACAGCCCAATGTTTAACTGTTGCATATGAAGGGCCACTGTCACCCATAGTTTGTGACATTTCATCATGGATCTACTTTACACCTTTCCCTTGGAGAAACAGGAACTTGATTATGGTCCTGTGCTCTTCTACATTGAACTTTTCTGGTGGTGCTGCCATGTCACTTTGGACCTGAGCATGAAAGATAGGTTAAAATCTAGATTATTTTATTTTTGCACCATTGAATATAGACAAATTGGCCAATATACCCTGCAATTTATAGCTTCCTTTGCTGAATTTTTTCTGGGAAAGGCTCAATACTTACCAGCACCCCCTCGTAGGCCTTCACTGTGGCAGCCAGCAATCCGCTTAAGCAACAAAGACATTTGAACTAAAATTTCCAGTTTATCTCTCCTCCCTAATTGAGCAGCAGTTGGGCTTCAGTGGGAATTGCTTTAAAAAAACACATAGACTTGAAGGTATCACTACCTTGCTGATCTTTTGTGAAACAGTCTAACAATTTAACTTCTTTCTTTCCCTCCCCATCCACTTTTTAAAATTATAGCTTTCAAATGGAATTCCCATAGAGAGCTGGTTCATGGATAAAAATGACAATGAACTCTTAAAATTGATTCCTTTTCTGGAGAAACTTGTGGAGCTGGTATGTATTTTCATGAGTGAATTTTGGATGTATACTTTTCTCCTGAATTCTGTTTATGTATTTATTGAACATATTTCCTCACTGCCTGTAAGATTGTCAGGTCAAAGCTGTCTGATGCCTTGAACATCTTCCTAAGAGTCCCACTGAACTTTATAAACCTCTAAGGAAAAATCAGAAGTCTATGTTTGGCACAGTGGGATTTATCTCAGTTAAGGATTAATTCCAGAATGAAACCAGACAATCATTTCCAATTATATCAAAATTCATCTGGATATCAAAGTTAAGTTTTTTCATTGTTGCAATCAGCTTGTCTAATTCTACAAGCTTTATTTCTACAGTGTTTCTATGTTCTATAAGCACAAAATTACTTCAAATATTGCTTCAAATACTTTGGTTGGCTGGAGCGCTGGCTAATTGTTTCCAATGATTTTAGTAAATTGTTGAAGAAGGCTCATTTTTTAAAGCACTTTCATTTTCAAGACTGCTTTTTCTACACCCCCTTTAATTGTTTTAACACTCCTACATCCAGAAATTTTCATAAATTGACAAGATCACAAGAACAAACATGCTGGATCAGATAGTGGCCAGGATCCTGCTGGTGTTTCCATAGGATTTGTATAATTTGCCATGTCTAATGGATTAGTTGCCAGGATAGCTCTCAGATGATAAATGTATGACCAGGGACTCAATTGAAACATGTCCTGGCACTTCATTAGTTAGCAACAATTAGCCATGGCAAATTGCTGTAGGATTCTGACCACTATCTCCGAAAATGGAGGCAGCAAATACTTACCATGAGTAATACTTACTGTTTATATCCTTATGCTCAGTGGTCACATCTGTATGTTGTAGGGCTAATCTTGTCACTGGACAGATGCATTGGGTAGCAGGCCCCCTAGAATTACACATTTGAGGCTATCCCCATGCCCCACCCCAGGAAGGATCCCATCAATGCTGCTGATTCACCCTTCCATAATCACCTCCCCCTTGCTGCTCTGCCTCCCCAGACTACATATTTGTTTGCATGGCAGCTCCATCACTGCTGTCTGCCCTCCCAATATGTTTGTACATAAGGCCAAGACAAGAAATGGATTTTTCAATAAAGATTTGCCATGACAAGGTGTAGTACAGGGAGGAAAGGGGATGCACACTTAGCACAGAACAGGTGCTCTTCTCCTGGCACAGGCAGTGGGAGAGCTTTTGCCTCTGGTGACATCTTGTAGCACAAGTTTATTTATGTATTTATTTATTTAAGCAACTCTAGCCGGCCACAAGTAGGATTTCATGGCACATTACGAAACTGTATAAAACAATTTTACAACTTAAAATTTTTTTAACAATTTAAAATCAAACAACACAAAATTAAAACACTCAAACATTAAAAACAGCACTAAAATCTGCACACATCACAATCCTCAAGCCCCAATACATCTTGCCTTCCCATCAAAATGATGCTAATGTTAGTGCCAATCAGCCTTACAAGCAGAGGAGATTCCACAGTTTAAATGTTGTGACAGAAAAAGTCCTCCCTCATGATTCTATATAATGAACTGTTTTCACTCTTGGGACACAGAGGAAGACCTCACCAGCAAATCCTAATGATCAGGCAGATTTATATAACGGAAGGTGCTCCTTCAACTATCTAGACCCCAATCCCTCTATTGTTTGAATAGGAGATGTGTGAATATACACTTCCTTCTGAATACCTAGAAATTTCCTATTATTCTGTTTTAGTGAATAATGGGTTCTAGTATTTTCAAAGAGGCAGGACAACTTTTCCCTGCTTACCTTATCCACATCATGTTTTCTTTTATGCATGTTTGGTATGTCCCCTACAATATAAATAGTAACATGTCATCAAGAAGATAGTTGTGTCAGTCTGTTGCAGCAAAATCTAAAGTCATTTAAGAGTAACAATAAAGCCCATGCCTTAAAATATGTGTAGTACTGTGGGCCACACTTCATATATCTGAAAAAGGAGACAAGCATCCACAAAAATCCCAAATAAAATTTGTCCGAAACATTTCAATATCAACATCCTGTAACATCACTTTTAATCTGAACAATTTAACTGTAAGCCAGAAAAAATACAATAAAACAAAACAGATTGTATGTTTTTAAAACCTTACAAGCTGTAACAGAAGGAGGGAATTCCTCTAAGAAGCTCCCTTTCTACTGCCTACCAGTTTTTATTATCTTAAGGATGGGCCAGTGGACACAGTCTCTGAAGATGATCTTAAAGTTACACATATGTTTATACAGGTATAGGCTATCACTCAGATAATCTATTGGGCTTTCAGAGCCACCATAAGCACTTCTGTTTGGGCCTAGAAACACACTGGCAACAAGTGTAGTTGGTACAAAATTAACGTAATGCAGTAATGACTGCCTAACCTTAACATGAAGAGATGCTTTCTGTAGCATATAGGATTTCTAATACATCTCAAAAGGAAGTTCCTTATAAACTGTATAGTGTATTCTGTGAAGCTTCTCATGGTCTCTTAAATGTTATTTTGCTAAGTTGAACACATTAAGGAAACAAAGAAAGATGGCAGTTTGCAGAGGTTTGATAGCACAATGGCTTGTATTGAATGTACGTATTCAGGGTGTGAATAACTGAATATACTGATCCTGTGGAGATAAAATCTGAACAGTTTTCTGAATGGTATAGGAAAGAAAAGAGTCCTGCATAGAAATTGCTAAGCATAGAACAAAATATGCCAGAATTCTGCAAAATCTGGGTTTTTCATTCACTAGAAGAAAGGTTTTGGTGTGCAATACTTGACTGCTTCACCTTATCTCTTTTCACCAACAGGAGCATATAGAACATAATTCATGGCTCATTGCTCACAATTTTTTAAAGATTGCACACCAACTTTAGATCTTAGAATCAAATTCCAGTCTGTTAGTACAGGGGTCTCCAAACGTTTGAGTGTGAGGGCCACACTGTATATTTTCAACATCTTTGAGGGCCGAAGGAACATGAGCATGCATGTGGCCACACACATGCATCCACCTGCACAGATGCCTGTCTGTAACATTAGCCACGTGCACGCACACATGCACCCCCCGCATGCACAGGCTGAAGGGAACAGGCCAGATAAAATGGCAAGGCAGACTGGATGTTGCCCATGGGCCATAGTTTGGAGACCCCTGTGTTAGGAGAATGACAAGCCAGAAATTGTGATATGGACATGTTAAATTTTTCCTCCAGCTATTCAAACTCTCTTATTGGTAAGAACAGCCGAACAGGAATAATTGGTCAATGTGTACTGGCATGCTTGCTTGAGAATTTGCCAGAATTTTGTCTATTCGTTTTACACAAACATCGCCAATGATCAAAATCTTACTGGCTACTGACGCAATTTAAGTGCAGTAGCATAAATTGCAGCGGTGAATTGCCACTAGTTCATAGGTCACCACTAGTATTTTTCATCATACATTGATCTAGGCCGCAAACAAGTCAGGTTTGAAGTACAGAATTTAACATTTTGATTCCAGGCCTGTCCTATACAATGACTATAACTCCTTGGTTTCTTCATCTTTAACAGAGTAAACTTTATAGATATAGGTGTCAGAACCAGTTGCAGGTGTCCATTATAAATTCTGTTACAAGTACAATTTGTTATAACTAGTGAAATTTATTATTTCCCCCCACTTCTAGAATGAAGATGTTCGACCTCACATCAGAGACAGATTTCGCTTGCACGACTTACTACCCCCAGATTAAACACAAAATCTATGTCAGATAGCTCAAGAGGAAGAAAATGCAGGACCTTTTTGTTTGTTTGTTTTGGACTAAAACAAAAACATTGCCATTACTGTTGAAATTTTGCATTTTTGTACGTTGTCTCGCTTTTCTTATATCTGGTACCCAACAATAATAAAGGGTTACAGAAGAACTTTGTATATCGCCAAATGGAATACATACAATACAGTAGGTAGGCTAGAACAGAAGCGTCTTTAGAACTAGTGCAACTCCCTTTTTTTTAATGTACAGGACATATGCCTGTTTTTAAAGAATTCTGTTTCTGCCACCAGCAGTTTGACCTATAAAACACAGGATTTATGAAATAACAGAGATTGAAAATGGACTCTTGTTTTCTCTCTGTTTGGTGCTCTTTAAGTGGGCTTTTAGCCACTTTGTGTTACTTTCAAGAGTCTCATTTCAACAGGAATGGCCAGTAAATGTTTTTTTTCCTGTTAAGGTTTATAACCTTTTTACATTTTTGAACTGTATTAGATTTTAGAATTTCATTATGCATTCCTTTTAGTTGAGGCGGCTTCATAGTTTTCTGGGAATAGCCAAATGTTATTAGTTTTTTTTTAATTATATGATTGAATGGCCATTTTCCCGCTTTGTCTGCCTGCATACTGTATATTTGTTTAAAAATATTACCTAGTTTTATTCCATGTAAGTTTCAGTTAGATATCTTTGTTTATAAATATATATATTTTTTGTTTCTGTAATATTCTACTGTAGTGGATTTTTTTTTCCAAAAATATCAAGAGACTGGCTAGATGAGAAGAAATTTAAGAATTACTAATATACAGAATATTTAAACCATTGTGATGGCATGATCCCCTATGGTGGTACACATCCATGGCTCATGGACAAGGATCAGTACCTTGGAATCTTCTGTGCATACAGGTCCTTGAGGAAAGTTTGCTTGGTCTAATGCAATGCAGTTACTTCTACCTTCAGTGTCCTCCAAGAATGAAGTATTGTGGAGAACAGCTCAGTATTTGAAACTATTTTCTACAGGTTGGTTTATCTGCTACACAGTCTACTGCAATCACTTCTAAAGTTTTATGTGTAGCAGTGAGAGTACCACCCCAGTAACTATGCATAACCCAATGGTCCAGTACACTCCTTTGCCGCCAGTGCAGCTGATATGCTATCATAGTGGTTTTCTATGCTATATGGAAATGGTTTTCAAGCCTTGGTTATCTAATGCAGCATGTACAAGAGGCTGATATTTTTTTAATGGAGTGTAATCTCCTTTTTAGGAGGCTTTTTATGGAAGGGAAAAATTTGTAAAAGTTAGTAAGCTTTGCCTCTAAACTGCATTAATATGCCACAGGCTCGGGCTGTTTTTGTGTAAAGGATGTTGCAGAATGGCACTTTTTCTAAAGAGAAGTTTGATATTTTGTATGCTTGTTAAAGAAAGTACAGTATTGGAAATTAAAGGTGGACAACTGATAATTGAGAAGTATGTCAATTAATTTTTTATGTATATTACCTGTTTACTTGTACAATTTTATTGTACAAATTACACACAGCTTCATTTTCAAATGAGTCCTTAAAATAAGGAAAATCTTTTTAGGAAAACATTTAATTTTTGTATTTTTTGATTTTAAAAGGCATGAGTTATGTCAATTTTTTCCAATGTATTAATGAAGATTTTAACTTTTCATCAGGTTGAGTGTTTTCTTACTATATTCTCTGTTGTATATGTAGCTAGCACATTGTGTCACAGAATTGTTTAAAAAGGTTAGCATGTAGAGCAAGCCTGCTTCTTTGTGGAGAATCATTCATTTGAAACAAAATTATGGTGAATTTCTGCACCTACAAATAAGGAAAGCAATTGCTATTCAGAATGTTGACTTCTTTGTATTTAAAGAAAGGTGTTTGTTTGCAGGAAAACGCTTACAGGTTCATTTCAATGAAAACTCTTTGAATGTGTTTATCTTTTAAGGCATCTTGGCATCTTTATACCAGTCATCTTTGACGTCTTTATTAAAATAAAATGTACATAATGTGACAGTTTGTGTGTGTGTGTGTATACATACATATATATGTGCATGTATGTGTGTATATACATACATAAGTGTGTGTGAGTGAGTGAGTGAGAGAGATTGCATAGAAGTGATCCCTGTAACTCCCTTCCTATTTTGCTAATAACTGGTATATAGATACAATTGATTTTGAAATTCTGAGTTTGAAATTATGCCTTTGAAAAAAGAGCTCCAAGTTACCATTATTGAGAGCAATAGGTCCCTGTTCTTGACTACCTGTTGTTAAATGGCACAAGTTTTGAAACACATTGCATGCAAGAGACATGTTCCACCCAAGCATCTCCAAGTCTGCAATAGACAGTTAGCAAGATTGTTTACATTACATGTGTGATTTCTGGTTTACACTGTGTAATGCCAGCAAGATTCTGACCAAGTGTCATTTATTATTTCTTTCAAAAAGATAAATAGTCAAGAATACTTCTTTATTCCTAATTAAATCATCATCTTAGACCTGCAGAGCTGGAAGGGACCCTATGGATCACCAAGACCAGCCCTTATCAAGGAGGCACAATGGGGAGTCAAGCTCCCAACCTCTGGCTCCACAGCCAGATACCTAAACCACTGAGTAATCCAGCATAATAACTCACAGCATACATTGTGAGTAGAAAAGCTAATATTATAGGCTATGTAGATCCACCACCTTGCGCTGAGTTTCTTCAGCTTGGAAATAATTATGTAGAACTAGCAAATAACAGATGGGATCCATGATACATAGTCCTTTCAAAGAAGAAAATATGCCTCACCCAATGAACGTGAGATGGTAATTTGTTATGCTGTTTTAAGAGATCATTTTGTGACCCCTCAAAAAATAAACCCAATTTAGTATACCCTAAATAAAATTGATGAACATTTTTCTGTGACTTGAAGAAAAACTGTACAGCATCTTTTTAGAGTACCTTTTAAAACCATTCATGTATTTTCATAGAAAATCATTACAAAGTTGATACAATGCATATTACAAACGTATTTGTTTGAAGGAAAAACAAGAATGTGACCTTTTATGTTCTTGGATTCTGGATTACTCCTGGATTATTAGAAATGTGTGGAAAGTTACAGAAATACCTAGGACAACCAAATCAACCCTTGCAGGCTGCTCTGTAAATACATATTAAAGTATCATTTTGTAATTTGGTGCAAGTCTGATTTTTAATTCTGATTACAATCTTTGCATGGAAATGTAAAAATGCATGTTTGAGGGCTGCAAATGTTCTATGGTACTATCAGGGTTGGGGGGATTGCATGGAAAGAAAGTAAGTGAATGAGGGGTCTTCTTAGCCTTAGAGCAAATCAGCCATTGTGAAGAATCACTTTTTTTACACACACACACACACAGAGAGAGAGAGAGAGAGAGAGAGAGAGAGAGAGAGAGAGAGAGAGAGAGAGAGAGAGAGAGAGAGAGAGAGAGAGAGAGAGAGAGAGAGAGAGAGAGAGAGAGAGAGAGAGAGAGAGAGACAGACAGACAGACAGACAGAGTGACTTCTTATTTCTGTAATAAAATACCTCCAGCTGTCCAGGGTTTCTATAACTTGTTTGAGTGAAAAATCATGCCACTTTCTTCCCTTCATCAAGTGCAGTTGCCTGACACACAACATTATATCTAAAGGGAAAAAAAGCTTCTCAAAGAAGTTGGGATTCAGGATTCACACAGAAGGGTTCCTTCCATGGGAGGTATTGCATCTAGTAGAGCATCTACCCTGGCAAAACGGAGCAAGAAGCCATTTTTGTTTTTTCACGAGGAGAAACTTTGCCACCCCCTTATAATAACTTGAAAAGTTACTGAGGGGGGCTTGGTGAAATAGTGGAGAAAATAGTGCTCAGTGCTGCTCAGAAGGATGCTATCAGTGATGGAATAAATACATGAGTCAAATCTGGTCGAACAGCCAAAGAGGAGGAGGAGAGGAATGTGCTCCAACCAGTGAGTGGGTCATTGCCCATCTTTAATGCCAACTAATGGTTTGACCTTCCAAATACAGGCAAACTATAGCTAAAAGTGGCCTGTCTGCTTTTGCTTTCTATTTGCTTCATCCATGTTTTTTTTCTCATGCACCAATCTTCACAGGCCAGAACTACAGCTATAATCACAGAGCTTTGGTGTACCATATTTACCATCAACAATGGGAGTCTGATTTTCTGGCTAACCAGAAAGCATACATCAAATTGACAACCCCAACAAATTACGCTTTCTCAATGATATAGCTTTCCATGTCTTTAAATTTTGTGTATTGTATTAGCCTCTAATTTCCTTAGCTTTTAATCTAATCTTTTTGATAGTACAGTGGTGCCTCGCAAGACAGGCACTTCATTTAACGATGAATCCACATTACGACAAGGTTTTTAAGATCGCAAAAGCGATCAATTTTGATAGTACAGTGGTGCCTCGCAAGACCTCCGTTTAACGATGAATCCGCATTTCGACAAGGTTTTTGAGATTGCAAAAGCGATCACAAAATGACATTTTGAATGGGGGAATTTCGCTGCGTGATGATCAGTTCTGTTTCGGGAACGGATTTTCGCTTCTCAATGATCAAAACAGCTGATGGTTGGGTTTTCAAAATGGCCACCGGGTGCTCAAAATGGTTCCCCGATGTGTTTAGGAGCCATTTTTCACTGCACAGGCACCTGAAAATGGACGCCCCTATGGAGGATCTTCGCTGGACGGTGAGTTCTTAGCCGATTGGAACACATTAACCAGGTTTTAATGCGTTTCAGTTGCTTTATTTTCGCTTTACGACGTTTTCGTTCTACAGCAATTTCGCTGGAACAAAACGTAATGCGAGGCACCACTGTACTTTTTAATTTGCAGAATAAGCTGTGTGTAATCCTCAGGGGTCTGAGGGATCAGCTGCTGCTAGTCATAGTACAAGTGTCTTTAAACCCAGCTAGATCAAACCTATTCTCCAGGGAGCTTGTATTAGCTTTTCTGCATTTATTTTCTATCGTTCTACAGCAATTTCGCTGGAACAAAACGTAATGCGAGGCACCACTGTACTTTTTAATTTGCAGAATAAGCTGTGTGTAATCCTCAGGGGTCTGAGGGATCAGCTGCTGCTAGTCATAGTACAAGTGTCTTTAAACCCAGCTAGATCAAACCTATTCTCCAGGGAGCTTGTATTAGCTTTTCTGCATTTATTTTCTACATACTTTCTATACTACTACTAATCAAATCTAAGTATGTAAGTCAAGTCATTATTTTCCTAAGAGAGTGGTTCTTAAGTCAAAATGTTCTTAACTCGAGCCGTTCTTAAGTCAAGACCCCACTGTACTTTCTATAGTACTACTAATAATGTGTCATCAGGTCGGTCCTGACATAAGGTAACCCTTTCTGGGGTTTTCTAGGTAGAACATACTCAAATAGTTTATCATTCACTTCTTCTGGGGATGTTGTGGGACTGCACAGTTTGCTTAAGGCTACACAGGATGGCTCTTCTCCCAGGAGGCACAGTGGAGAATTGAACTCCCAATTCACTGAACTATCTAGTGAGTTTCATACTCTCTAGCATGAAAAATTGGCATGATCATGCTTATAAACACCAATTAAATACAGTGGGTGGGTAGAGTAATTGTGAGATTATGACTCTCTCTATAACTGCCAGTAACCCAGCTAACACAACCAAAGGGAAGGGATAATGGGAGTGGTTATTCATCAATATCTTGGAGCAGCCACAAGTTCCCCATCTCTGGTGTAATTAGTATATCATTTTCTTTTACTTTTCTTTCAGTGTATAGTGTGGTTGGCACTAGTGATTCATAACATAAAATATGGAATGCTTCCTCTCTAGGTTGGATCCAAATTAGTCAGTATTAGATCAATTGAGATCTATGGATGTACTTTTAAGTATGAGTATTCTGAATCAGAAACCTACTCATATTTTTGATCATACTAATTGGACTGTGGCCTCTATTCTGTTCCTTTGAAATATCCATGCATGACATGTTCATCAAACTATGTTAACCACTCGCATGATTACAACTGGAGCATGCATCTCCTTCAAAAGAATACTGGCCATTGGCATCTGCTCGGAATACTTCCTTTCTAAACACACCATTCTAGTTTCAGCTGTTTTCATGGATTACTAAATATTCATCTATTTGGCAAGCTAATGGTACTTTGCCAGAGGATGTGTCAGTAATTTTAGGTTTAAGGAAGGAATCTGTCCTATTAAAAATATTGCTCCTGGCCTGCCTGTGTAAAGTAATTAGTATATCATTTTCTTTTACTTTTGTTTCAGTGTATAGTGTGGTTGGCATTTTCACTTAAGGAAGGAATCTGTCCTATTAAAAATATTGCTCCTGGCCTGCCTGTGTAAATTACATGAGATGAGAAAAAAAGCTGATGCTATGAAGGTCTAACACTCAGCTTGGAAGACGTGACATGAGTGTTGGCCCTAACTGAAAAAAAAATCAATGAAGAGGCAGTGGTTGATGTGCACTCAAGGAAGCTTGCAATCATGCACCATATATCACAGCCACAGAAACTAAAATTAGCCAAGGAAGAGAGCACAACATAGCAGCAAATATATTCAAGAACTCTACCTTTTAGTTAGCCACAACCCTACGCCCTAAATGGCCACTACATCATTCCAGAACTCCAGAAAATACAATGTAAACATTGACAAGAAAAGTTTAATATACTACGCACGGGTATATGAAATCTCGGGCTTTGGCAATTCAAAGACTAAGCATATTTTGCTAGAGAGAGAAAAATGTGTTGCTTTTATAGCCTGCCTCCAGGCTTCTCAAAGACAGCTGACTGGCAGCTGCTGAAACCTAAGATACTGCCCGGCTTGCATAGCCTTCGCCTAACTGAGCTGCAAGTTTTGCCTTCTGTCGTGCAGTGTTGCTTGTGCAACTGGTGGCTCTAATGAGATTTCTTGAAAGTTTACACTGTTGAGGACCTTATAAAGAAAGAGCACATGCACTGAAACAAGAATACATTTTTATGATAAAACACAATACATCAAGTTCAGAAGAGAATGGGCAAAATGAGGATGTAACTGCTCTGTAATAAGAGACCCCTGATCTCTCGAAGGTGTCCTTATTACTTGGTGATCTGCCATCCAAAGCCCCAGTTTAGCTTCAGAAATCAGATGAAAATAGGGTATGTTCAAGGTGGTAGAGAGATACATACATGTGTACCACAAAAGATGCATTAGTTGTGAGAACCATGAAAAAAGCATAATGTAATGATCCTATTTTTAATTTCTGTAGGTGTGACATGGTGCATGATTGCAAGCTGCCTTGGGTCCCTTCAAGGACAAAGGCAGGGTAATCATATTTTAAATAAATAAATAGAGATCAAAAAAGGGCCCAAAAGAGCACTATCAAAATGGAAAAGACCCTGATGTTGGGAAAGTGTGAAGGCAAGAGGAGAAGGGGACGACAGAGGACGAGATGGTTGGACAGTGTCACCGAAGCAACCAACATGAATTTGACCCAACTCCGGGAGGCAGTGGAAGACAGGAGGGCCTGGCGTGCTCTGGTCCATGGGGTCACGAAGAGTCGGACACGACTAAACGACTAAACGAACGAAAATGGTATTTTAAATAAATAAATAGAGATCAAAAAGGGCCCAAAAGAGCAATATCAAAATGGAAGGGAAAGGAGCAAGTCCTTTATGAGGAAAGGTTACAGTTGGGATGGAGGGAGAACTATTTAGCTTAGGAAAAAACAGATTGGAGATGTATACATTTATGCACATTCAGAGAATGTTTGGAATGTTTTCTCTTACTCCTAATACTAGAACTTTACGACTAAACGACTAAACGAACGAAAATGGAAGGGAAAAGAGCAAGTCCTTTAGGAAAGGTTACAGTTGGGGTGGGGGAGAACTATTTAGTTTAGGAAAAAACAGATTAAGGGGAGACACAATGGAGATGTATACATTTATGCACGTTCAGAGTATTACTCCTAATACTAGAACTCTAGGTCATGCACTGAAGTTGATTCAGAGCAACTGTGAAACTAATTTCTACATGACGTAGCAGTGGCTGCCAATGTGGACTGCTGAGCAATCCTATGCACCAGTAAACAGCTGACAAAGACCTCCTGCTGCTTTGCCACAGGATAGCCGTTAAATCCCATATATGTTTGATCCAGGACAAGATGTGGGAATAGGTACACATTTAGTAAGAAGATCTGCCAATTTACACCAGTATCCCCATAATTATGTCCTTGCTAGTGACAGCTATGATAAGAGGAGGTTGCCACAGAAAACAGCTGCCTCCAGATGGGAAAACTCTAGATTTTGTAAACTGACTCATCATCCATGAGATTTTTTACATTTTACAATTAGCAACAACTGCTTCATTGGGGTGGAAGATGGTTTAAAGTCTAGAACAGATTAGATTCACATGGAATCCCTTCATACCTCAAACATTGATTTGTCACTGACACTTGAAAAGAAGATTTTACAATTATACAAGTACCATTAGGACTTCTGTTAACCTTGCACAATGGCATAAAATTGCGAATAATGCCTTTTGTGCAAGCTAAACCCACTAATAACCCATGAGTAGGTGGTAATAATGCAATAAGCTGTGAAATCTCCCCTGAATCCATGTTCCCGTAACTGTTCTAAAACGGCATTGGCCACAGCTACCAATGTGAAATTCAGGAAAGAAGAGGTCTTGCCCCGTTTGCGTCCCTCCCGTCGGAGAGAGCAGAGAAGGGAACCGGGCCGGAGAGGCAGGCAGGCAGGCCGCCCTCCTGGGAAGCGCTGAGGGGAGGCTCGGCCGACAGAGAGCCCAAGAGAAGAGCCCCGGCTCTTCTCGCCTTCCCTCCCTACAAGCCCAGCGACAAGAAGCCGGGCAAGGGCGAACTGGCATCATCATCATCATCCCCTCGCCCGCTTAGAAAGGGCGGGTTCCGCCCGGCCCCAAGAGGCTTCTGCTGGCGGGGCGGAGGGCGTCCTTCCAGGCTCAGGCGGCAGCAGGCGGCGTCGGCGGCGGGGAAAGGCCTTCTTACCCGGCTTTGCCACTCCTGCTGTCCTCTTGGCATCCCGCGGGGAGCATCGGAGCAGGGGGGAGGCAAGGAAGGGCGGGCGGGCTCCGGGCAGCGCCGAGAGGCAGGCCGCCGTGATTCGTGGCCGCAGGCCGGACGACGGGGGCTGCTTTCGGGTCACCGCCGTCCTTGGGAGGCTCACGGGCGCTCGGGGCTCCCTCGAAGCCACCGCCCGCTTCTCTTTTCGCCGAAGGGCCGCCGGACCTGCTCCCGACCCGGCTCCGATCCCACCGAGGCGCGGCTGAAAGGCCGCCGCCAGATAAAACCACCGGCGGACTCACACAGGGCGCTCCAGAGCTCCTTGCCCAGTTCCCACGTTCAGCGGCGCGAATGCACAGCTTCGCCCTTTCCGCCTGCTGCTTATGGGTAGCGACGGCCGCCCACCCTCCCATTCCCCGCGCGCAATAAGGCGGCTTGTGGGTGGTCGGTCGGGTGGGTGGCCCAGGCAAGGCGCGGGAGAGCCGGCGGGTCCCCGAAGAAGCCGCCGGAAGGAAGGGAGAGCCCCGGCGCCTCCTCCTCCTCCTCCTCCTCCTCGACGCGCTGACGGGGAGGAAAGGGAACGCCCGCCCCCGACGCCCGGCTCGCACGTTCTCGGGCCCGCCCCGGCAGGGCCCACGCGCTTCCTTCCCTTCCCTTCCTTCCCTCCCTCCGCCTGGTCGACGACGGGCCTGAGTGGACGGCGAGCAAGATGGCGACCGAGGCGGACTCTTGGGGTAGGCCTGGCCCGGCGCGTCTCCCTTCGGCCCCGTCCTCTCTCTCTCTTTCTCTCCCTCTCCCGCCTGACCCCCTTTTCTCTGTCCCCGCAGACGTGGACACCTTCGAGGCGGCGGATCCTTTGGCCGGGCGCCTCGCTCCCACGCCGGCCGTGGTGGCTGCGGACCGCTGGGCCGGCGAGGACGAGGAGGAGGACGTCAAGGTGGGCAGCCCCGTTCCCTCACTCTCGCGGCCTGAGGCGGCTTCGCCTCGGAGACCCCCACCCCCACCCCTCCGGAGCGCGGGTCTTTCGTGGGCGTCGGCGGTTCTCCGGAGAGGCCGCGCTCCCGAGGGGGGGGGCGTCCCTTCTCTTAGCCCGGGGGTGTCATTTGGGGCTGTGGGCGCGGCCTGCCGTCGTCTCCCCGGCCGAGCCGCGGGGTGCGTTGCCGCGCGGCCTGCTCTCCTCAAAGCAAGGCCACGCCGGCTGAGGCGGCGCACGGGGGGGGTGCGGGCTCCCCTTTGCGCTCTCTGCCCGCCACGCAGGCCCCGGGTGGGGGGGGGAGGCTTCCCAGTCGCCAGCGGCCGAGGACGGCGGGTGCTGAGGGAGACTGGCGTCTAGCCCGGGGAAGGCGTCCCGGAGGCTCCTTTCCCACGTCACAAACTCGGGCTGGAGAGCATTTGGCTGGGTCGAGGCCCCGTCCGTGCGCCAGCCGCTCCTTTCCCCCAGGAGCAGGCCAGAGAGCATGTGGTGGAGTCAGAGCAGAGTGGGGACCCCCCCCGCCCCACGTGTGAATGGCGCCTGGCCAGGGAGGGAGGTTTCCAGGGAAACCTGAATTCCACCTCCACTGCCTCTTTTGATGTGGGTGGCTGTTACCTCTTCTGTCATCAGCCTTTGATGTCCAGCTCCACTTTTGTGGGTAAAGGATGGAGCTGTTAAGAATTGGTGTAAAGGGAGATGGGTCAGATTGCTGAGAAGTTGCTGCCCACTAACAAGCCTGTATCCGGTTTTGGAAAGACTATGCAACCCAAGTTTTTGGGATGGGGAGACAGCCATGCCAAGTATCACCACCCTGATACTGCAGTAAGTGAAGTACTTCAGACGTACGTTTGGGCATGCAAATTGATTCTGGCATTTGAAAACTTAAAATACATTTCAAGTTGACCGTAATTTAGGATTATTTCAGAAAAAGGAAGAGAATGAAAGGCCACACTAACTAACCCAATGTGGGTTTCTCCTTTAGGTATCTTTTTTTAGATATAAGAGAAGCAAAGTAAATACTTAAGACATAGTTACTTTGGCTATGTCACGCGATCAACATCATTGGAGAAAGACATTATTCTCAGAATGGTCAGTGGTAAAAGACCATGAGGACGCATGAGGACGTCTGTTCAATGTAAACAAAGCAGACGCTGGACAAAATATAAAACTGCTGAAAGAAGTTGTACAAGATCAGAAATAATGGAGAGAGCTGGCTCATCAAATTGCCAAGGGTCAGATATGACTGAGTGGATAATTCTATTCGAAATACTTTTTATGGTACTCTTTGTGATCAGGACTTGGCAAGGAGGACTTATAGAAAATGTGTAGTGGCCGAGAGCAAAGGCAAAGAATATACTTCAGGTTCAAAGACCTGAATAGAGAATGTTAATTAGGTCCTACCTGAAATCCTAGAGAAGGCATTTGTTATTCTATTACTGTTTTAATGCAGTCTGGAACTGTTTTATGTGGAGTAGTAGAATTGTCCATCTCTGTCACTGGAGCACTTATTTTTGGAACTGCTATTTGTGATGACAGATGAGTATAATAATCCTGTTGGTTCTGATTAAACTTAATTTCAGGTCTTGCATATTTGCTGTTGCTTCTTGCTTGCTTGTTTAAGAATGAGAGCATAATTACTTTCCAGTCTCAGTTTGAGATCTGTCAGCTGTAGAATTGTGCACTTTTCTGTGAATATCAAGAATACAAATGGACTTGAGTTTGGGCATGGGTTCTGCGATGTCCTTATCAATTCTGGACACTGATGTTTGTCAGACAGGGTTTGGCTTAGGATTCCTGCTGAACCAAGAGAGGGAAAAGGTGGTATCTTATCAACAGAGCCTCATGGCAGTTTATTTTAGATCAAACTTGGGCAAGACCTCCACATATCATTGGCTCCAGTTCTTGTCAGCCCTGGCTGGCATGACCATGGTGATGGGGTTGTAGTCTTATAGGCTGCCTGCCTTTCACTTCTGCTGATGTGTCCTAGTTCAATTTTTGTGCTTTATGCTTGAAATATTCTTTGCCTATAATATCTTTTAAGATATATTTTTGCCAAGTATAAAGAGATTTCTACTCAGAGGTAGGAGAAAAGCACCCGCTCGTAATGGTGCTTTTGATAATTGAAGATAGGTTGCTGGACAGGTTCTGTGATGGTTTCTGAGCCTCCAGGATTCCTAGCCATCTAAGAAAGTACAGCTGTGATTTTATAAAAGCTGCCTTAAAATTGCTATAGGATTCTTTGTTGTTTTAAAAACCAGGTTTGTAATAGCAATTTTAAAATTTCCAGTAGATAAAAACTTCTTGGGGAAAGTGTATAAAAACCAATTTGTTCTTTCTGGCCACAAGTGGCTAACTGGTGTATGAGGGCAGGCTGTGAGAGAGGGTAGGAGACGGTAGCTGTAGTATACTGGAAGTGTGTCTACAAGCAGTCTCCCTGTGTGTTCAAAGTGTTCTTCCACTTTGAACACACAGTGATTTTCCTGGTGCTTTTGTTTATTCTGTAAGTTGTTTGAAGCTAACCATGAAGCCTCATGTTTAACTGCAGTATTTCAGGGCAGAAAAGGCTTATAATCTGGAGAGTCTATTTGCATCAGTTGTAGTCATTCAAGGATTGTTGTTTAGTGGTTAAGTCATGTCCAACTCTTTGACCCCATGGACCAGAGCATGCTAAGCCCTCCTGTCTTCCAGAGTTTGGTCAAATTCGTGTTGGTTGCTTCAGTGACACTGTCCAACCATCTCATCCTCTGTCGTCCCTTTTTCCTCTTGCCTTCACTCTTTCCCAACATCAGGTTCTTTTCCAGGGAGATTCCTCTTCTCCTGAGATGGCAAAAGTATTAAAGCCTCAGCTTCAGGATCTGTCCTTTCGATACCACACCTTTCGTAACAGTGATCTTTGATCACCTTGATTGGCTTGATTGTTCAGATTGACAGCTCATTGTCCCAGAAGGGTGTGAATGTTGTATGGCAGGACTCTTTCCAACTTTGTTTTACTTTTGTTGCCTTGAGAAATGCTCTCTTCATCTTGATCCTCATCAACTCTGTCAACAGTTGAACTGATTCAGTCAGATTGCTGGATATGGTCGTAGCTGAGAGTCCCCTTTCAGGGAGAGAAGTCACGTCATCAGAACTGATCACCTTGGGCTTTCTTGCAAAAGCTTCTACAGTGATCTGAAGTAGATGAAATGTGAATGTCTCCATTTAAGTGTTATGAGTGGCCCTGCCAGCCAAATGGGCCGTATATAAATCAAATAAAGAATAGTAAATAATAATTATAAGTTTAGTACTGCACTAATCCACTTCATATCCAAAGATCAGACATGAGGCCAGGCCATGGCTTTGCCACTGAACTGATGACCAGGTATGTGTTACATGTTTTTTCTTACACTGTCTGTGCTACTTGCTTTTGTGTGCTAGGATAACTGGGATGATGAAGAGGAAGAAGAGGAAAAGGAAACTGAGGTAAAGCCAGGTGAGAAGTATGGGAAACCCACACCTATTTTTATGTAACTGCTGGATTTTGGTTGTGTTTTGGGCAACCTAATGCTACTTGCAGAGGAGGACCCAAGGGCTTCAAGTCTGGGTTGCATTGGAAGAAACAGGCTACAATCCCAGAAAGCTTATGGCAAATAATAGTACATGTTTGTTTTAAAGTTGATACACAACTCTTGTATTAGCAGTAGTTCTTGTTCTCAAGTCCGCCGAAAAATTACTTAAAAAATAACATTATGCACTGTTCACAGAACCCAAAGTTTCAGAAAAGAAGAAAATAGCAGAAAAAATAAAAGAGAGGGAAAAAGTGCAGAAGAAAAAACAAGAAGAGATTAAAAAAAGGGTAAGGCTTTTTTGAGTAGAGATGGGAGAACTACTTCTGTTTCATGTGCTAAGAAACGCTAGGCATCTTATAAAATCAGGCATTTAGTTTTCCAGATCATGTCCTGCTAAGGAATGAGCTCTGACAGCTGGTTCCAGGTGTCACATTTGGAGCAGCAGGTGGGGATGCTTTTTCTAGTACAGTATTCAAGGTTAGCGTCCTTTCAGCATGCTGTCTGGATGATTTGGAACTGTAACATGCTGTCATGCTAGTTTTTCCAGTTGTTGCAGAATGGACTGCCACATGGCATAGCTGCCACTGGTCAGTTTTCTGGTCATGTAGAGATATTTATGTAAATTTAGATAGGAATCATTTACCACCTTCTCTAAGAAAGGCTGTCAGTATTTTGGTTCCACAGTTATGTTGTACGTGATTTCAGTATGTGCAGTGAAAAAAAGCAAGTTGTGGAACTTGTGCAACAACTTCAATTGTGGAACTTGTGCATGTTCTTTAATGCAGTTATGAAAGCCTCTTCAGGGCATCACTATTTATATATGGACATTAAAGTGAGATGTGAGATATCTCATTGGGTGGCTCATGTGTGTAAATTTGAATTTTCTGATAGTTATTCATGACTTCCATTTTAGTTTAGCATTGAGCTAAGAGTGGTAGTTGGTTCTTGTCATTGAACCTGATTTTTATTTCCCTTTAAGCTAGAGGTATCAGAAGAATCTAAAGAACTTACACAAGAAGAACAGTTAGCAGATAAACTACGACTTCAGAAATTGCAAGAAGAAGCAGACCTTGAATTAGCCAAAGAAACCTTTGGTAAGTGTGAAGGCCCTTGAATTTAAGCATACGCATGCTGCAGTGGCATAGTTCAGCTTTTCACATTCTACAGGATCAGGGTGCATAATTCATAAAAGCAGAAGTGAAAATGAGTGGACCACTTTCCTCAAATAAAGCCTGATCATTGCAAATGTATACTAATTCTCAACTCCAGCCATTGAATTATTCCCACCATTTATTCTCCCTTTTACAGGTGTAAATAACACATGTGGAATAGATGCCCTGAATCCATCTTCAAAAGAAGACTTTACGGAATTCGGCAAATTATTAAAAGAAAAAATAACACAGTATGAGAAATCTTTATATTATGCTGGATTTTTGGAAACGTTAGTTCGAGATGTATGTATTTCATGTAAGTATATTATAGAAAAAAACAATGAGCATTTTGTTTCCATTGTAGAATGCATGGACAGTAATGCTGATTTGATCTTTAATATTTATGACTTACTTATCCAAGTCTAACATATTTTTAATTTATATGAAATATTTTATCCTTTATTCTCCTTGAAAGGGACCCAGAGAGGCTGACATAAGTAAAAATACAGCATTAAAAAGCTAAAAACAGCTAAGGTGTAAATAACACATGTGGAATAGATGCCCTGAATCCATCTTCAAAAGAAGACTTTACGGAATTCGGCAAATTATTAAAAGAAAAAATAACACAGTATGAGAAATCTTTATATTATGCTGGATTTTTGGAAACGTTAGTTCGAGATGTATGTATTTCATGTAAGTATATTATAGAAAAAAACAATGAGCATTTTGTTTCCATTGTAGAATGCATGGACAGTAATGCTGATTTGATGTTTAATATGAAAAACCTATTAACTTGTTAATATTTATGACTTACTTATCCAAGTCTAACATATTTTTAATTTATATGAAATATTTTATCCTGTATTCTCCTTGAAAGGGACCCAGAGAGGCTGACATAAGTAAAAATACAGCATTAAAAAGCTAAAAACAGCTAAGTATGCAAATATTTTAAAATAATTAAATGATTGTTATAGTAAAAATGGTAAATGAAATAAATACTAAAAACACATTTAAAAGCAATAAGTTACAAGAATCTTTTTAAAAAGTGGTCTCAGAGATAGCCAGGTCATTAAGGCAAAGCTTTTTTGAAGATGAAGAAAAGCAAATGGAAGAACAGTAAAGATGGGGCCACCCTGGCCTCTGGGGGGGGGAGTTTCAGAGTTTGGGAGCAGCAGATAGAGAAGGTGCTGTCTTATGTCCCTACCAGATGCACTTCTGAGGGTGGTGGGAATGAGAGAAAGGCCTCTCCTGAGAATCTTAACACCTGTGCACTTACAAAGGGACATGAGGTCCTTGAGATAGTTTGGACCAAGCCATTTATGGCTTTATAGGTTAAAACCAGCACTTTGAATTGTGCTCTGAAGTGTGTAATTTTAAGTGATGAATTTTCAGACCTAAGAGTTCAAGCTCTTGTGTGGGTGTTATAAACTTTAACAGTTATTTATACAAAATTATCCTCAGATTGGTTAAATGTTCAGCTAGTATCCTGGTGAAGGGGAATCGTATAATCATCCCACTACTTCAGCAGGCTTTCCGTTATACAGCTAATCTCTCAATGTGGTAGAAGAAAGGTGAGGACTAGGAGACATTAAAGGAACTGTCCATCTGCTCCAGATTCAGGCAGTTCAGGTGTGTGATCACTGGAGTTAGATGCACAGTTTGGGGGCTTGTACTATCTGTATCAAGATTTCAGTATCTATTCTGGGAACTTAGGAGTTTCCCAAAAAATATGAGAACTCTAAACATATTCAAGCATCTGGGCAAGGGCAGCACGGGAATGAGAGAAAGGCCTCTCCTGAGGATCTTAACACCTGTGCAGTCTTACAAAGGAACATGAGGTCCTTGAGATAGTTTGGACCAAGCCATTTATGGCTTTATAGGTTAAAACCAGCACTTTGAATTGTGCTCTGAAGTGTGTAATTTTAAGTGATGAATTTTCAGACCTAAGAGTTCAAGCTCTTGTGTGGGTGTTATAAACTTTAACAGTTATTTATACAAAATTATCCTCAGATTGGTTAAATGTTCAGCTAGTATCCTGGTGAAGGGGAATCGTATAATCATCCCACTACTTCAGCAGGCTTTCCGTTATACAGCTAATCTCGCAATGCAGTAGAAGAAAGGTGAGGACTAGGAGACATTAAAGGAACTGTCCATCTGCTCCAGATTCAGGCAGTTCAGGTGTGTGATCACTGGAGTTAGATGCACAGTTTGGGGGCTTGTACTATCTGTATCAAGATTTCAGTATCTATTCTGGGAACTTAGGAGTTTCCCAAAGAATGTGAGAACTCTAACCATATTCAAGCATCTGGGCAAGGGCACGTTGGCTGATCCTTCCAGTTCAGAAGCATAATTGGATTAGTACTTGCACAAACAAAGAAAAATGTCTCTTCTGGAATTAATTGTAATCTAAGCGTATGAAATATTCACTGGTTGCTTATTTAGTACAAGTTAAATGTAAAAAGAGACTGGGGAAGAGATGACAGGAGTGATATGTTTGAGAGAACATATGTCAGAATGGAGCAATATGTTTTAAAAAAGGCCTTCATATATAGCCATTGGATCAGCAAATTCTGCCTCAGTTGGGGTGTCTTGAGTCACAATATGTACAGACCTAATAATTGCATTTAGTATGAGCACTCCTTGATATGATGAAAATAATATGCAAACATTTCACTAATGTCCAGATATGGAGTAGATATTGTAAAAAATGACAGTAGCTGTTGCACCACAATTATGGAATTGTTGTCTAAACAGCTAGACAACCCGAAGGTCATCAAGTCCAGCCTCCTATTGAAGCTGGAGGAACTTAGGAGTTTCCCAAAGAATGTGAGAACTCTAACCATATTCAAGCATCTGGGCAAGGGCACGTTGGCTGATCCTTCCAGTTCAGAAGCATAATTGGATTAGTACTTGCACAAACAAAGAAGAATGTCTCTTCTGGAATTAATTGTAATCCACAGCTATTTTGCAACTGACGTGCTTCAGTAATTTACAATTTATTGGGTAGGGATAGGAAAGTGAAAGTTTGAGACCTGCAAAAAACAAAGAAAACAAAAAGGCTCAGCCAACTTTAAGTTAGTTACCCTTCAATTCTCATGATACAGTGGTGCCTCACACAACGATGTTAATTGGTTCCAAAAAAATCAACGTTGTGTGAAACATCGTTCTGTGAAACACCATTTCACATAGGAATGCATTGAAAACCGGTTAATCCGTTCCAATTGGAACGGATTGCCATCGTTCAGTGAAAATCCCCATAGGAAACATCGTTGAGTGAAACAATGTTTCCTATATTGGAATGTATTGAAGCCGACTCAATACATTTCAATGCCTTTGCGAAGTCCTTTTTCGCTCCTGTAAAAGTGTCTTACAATGTTTGGACGCTGTTTTAAATGATTGCAATGGTTAGTCCACCTCCTGAAACCTATGCAAACTGATTTTGGTGTTGTTCTGACACTTCGTTAATTTATGATGATTTTTTGAATTTTCTCCATTGGAAACCATTGGATGGTCTGTCTAATGGTTTCCAATGGAAAAAACAAAAAATCATCATAAATTAACGAAGTGTCAGAACAACACCAAAATCAGTTTGCATAGGTTTCAGGAGGTGGACTAACCATTGCAATCATTTAAAACAGCGTCCAAACATTGTAAGACACTTTTACAGGAGCGAAAAGGGAGATCGTTGTGTGAAAATCCCCCATAGGAAACATCGCTGTGTGAGGCAGCAAATTTAACAGAAAAAGGCATCGTTGTGTGAATTCATCGTTGTGTGAGGCACTCGTTGTGCGAGGCACCACTGTATTTGACTTTGGCCTTCCTAAGGTAGTGGGTTCTTCTGGCAACATGGCAGTATGAACTGGTAGTTAGAGGTGAGAGGCCAAATAAGCCTCCTTTTATCTGTTAATACAAGCTGCTGCTAATGTAAATTAATATATTTTCTACTACAAAATGGCAGTCAGGGTAGCTAACAGTAATAAAATTCAAATAGAAAAAATATACAAATAAGATTAAAAGTCCACCAGTAAAGAGAAACAAGAATACTTCATGCTCAAATGAAATGTCACCATGGCACAGAGAGTAAACTCATTTTAACTTTGCAGATGCTGTTAACAAGGTGGATTTGATTTTTCTCAAACTGATTTAAATCACAATCAAAAATCAGTTTTTTTTGACAATTTACATTTTTTTAAAATTGATTTTTTAATTCACCCTGCCTATTAAATACTTGGCATCCTATTTCAGGTCTAAAAGCCATCTAGTAGTTTCTGGATTATTTCAAAATGTCAACTATGACTATTCCATTATCATCAATATTTGTTTTTATGGGTCATGCTGCTATGAGCATCTTGAAGAGAATCTCTGTTCACAGCAGCTATCCAGTTTCCCCAAAGGACATGTGGTAGGTTTGTGTCAGCAGTCACAATTATGCAAGTACATCTTTCAGATGCCTTCTGTCTTCCATGTCAGATTTGATATAATCTTAGAGAGAGAGCTGAAAGAAAACTGCAGAGCTGGAAGGGACCCTATAGGTCATTGTGTCCAGCCCCTGTCAAGGAGGCGTAGCGGAGAATCGAACTCCCAACATCCAGGTTCCACAGCCAGATACCTAAACCATCAGGTTATTCAGCAATCTTTGAGGGAGTCGGTGGAAAATGTGTAACTGAACAGTAACTGAAAAGGCATAATGTGGCTCCAGGCCATTTTTACTGAACCCTATAAATATTAATTTTTAAGAAAGCCACCCAAATCCGTACACAGGCTACTATGAAAATTGGCAGTAAGTGTAAATTTTTAGTAAGTGTTGTGGTTTTGTAGCAGACAGTAATGAAACATTTTTACCACTTTTCTAGTTGTTTAAAATTGCAGTTCTGGGCCTTAATTAACTTAACTGAATAGAGAAGAATTTAGTTAGAATAATAATTTTGTGGTATATGACTTCTTTCTCTGTTAATTGGCGATGGTTGTTTCCTATTATATGTCTCAATTGTTAGGGACTGTTTAGATATCAGAGAATCACAGAGCAGTAATTGGCCGATACCTAAAAACAAGTCGCTACTCATTGAGACATGTAATAGAAATAACAGACTCTAGTTATCATGGAAAGAAGCTAATTTCATACTATTAATGCTATTAAGGTGCTGCAGTTTCATACCAAAAGAAAGTTATAGTAAGACACAGTAGAATTGGAAAGTGGCTGCAAGGCCACATTGCTGATTTTTAGTGGTGATTGTGCCACTGATACTCAGTGGCTTTTGGGAGGGGTTGGGGCCACCAAACTAAATTTTGGCCCATACTCCTGCCAAGGTAGCTCACCTGCCTGATGGAGACACATAGTTTCTGAGATAGAGAGGCATTTGAGAAGCTTGTTACATGGAAATACCAGTGGCTCGTCATGACAAAAATCTTTTGAACATAATTTTTATTTCTGAGTTGTGATCCTTCTCTTACTTCCTTGTGAAGTTCTAAAACGGTGTCCAGGTGCCCAAACAGGACATTCAAATTGGGGTTCATTAATTTATTCCTTTGAGCATTCTAAGAGCTGTTGAAAAAAAAAAGATTTTCTGTCAATCATGTTGCTGTGCTTTTATTTCCAATTTAGTGGAAATTGATGATTTGAAAAAGATCACAAATTCCTTGACAGTGCTATGCAGTGAGAAGCAAAAACAAGAGAAGGTGAGTCTTGGGTATTTTTTTCTATAAGTTGCTGATTGGTGATTTTCTGATTGATTTGAATTATCACCTGGGTCTGATTTAAAAGAGCTTGGTGGTGAGTTCCATGCTGGCTGTAGATATGGGGTACATTTGGCAATACCAAAGCTAACTAATAGTACTTGAGGTATGTGATTGCTGTATCGTACTCCTTGAAGACAAGATGAAGTCTCCTTAAGTTTCATCAGTGGTAGGCTTTTATTCCAATAATTCTGATTGTATTAACAGGGTAACCTTGCATATAAAGCATGATAGTTGTCAGTTGATAGTAGAAAATACTGTTTCATTATATAATGAATGCTAATTGTACTTCCTTGAAGGAAACTTCAGATGATGGTGTTGTTAGCTTTGCTTTGTTTGTAAATTTATGCTTATTTTTTGCTTGGTAATTACAATTTGGGAAAGAGAATTTGTCTTAGGGAATCAGTCTTCAAACCTGATCCAAGTTACTTCTGTCTTTCCTTCAGCAAAATAAAGCCAAGAAGAAGAAAAAAGGCGTGGTGCCTGGTGGGGGTTTAAAAGCGACCATGAAAGATGACCTGGCAGATTATGGTGGTTATGATGGTGGCTATGTACAAGACTTCGAAGATTTCATGTGACATTTCTCCTTTCTGTTGTCTTTCTGTTGCCCATAATCCCTTCATGTGTAGCACAATTACTTTCCTTTAAATTCTGCCAAATGCTACAGTCAAAAACTGCAGTATATTTGTGCTGTTCATTACCTTCACATTTAGCTGCTGAAGCATTGGGATGCCTTTCTTGATGCCAAGAGAATAAAATTATGTTGCTCAATTGTTCATTCAATCATAGGAAATATTGAAATTTCTATAATGTGACTTCATAACAGAAGAAGCAGCACTTAATTGGAAATAACTTTCAGCAAGGCCAAAAATGTAGTATTATCAGTGTGATTTAATAGCAGCAGTCTTAACTGTATCTCTTCCACTGATTCTACCCAGACAAAAGAAGTTATTTGCAGCAAGGGCATGGTGTGCATACAGTATTAAAGGCAGCTTTATCTATTATACTAGGGTTTGAGGTTTTTCAATAGATTGGCAAATAGCCTAGGGAGAGGATTCTGCACTTAGGATCCAACTATGAAATTTCAGTGCTTTCTAAGTTAAGAGCACAGATAAAATTCTCAGTTGGTTTATAAAAGAGGCTGGGTTAATTGTATTTGGGGAAAAAACTTATAACTGATGTCTAAGCAGTTTAATTCACACTTTTCTGATTTCTTGGGGAATTCTTTGTCACCAGGTTTCTGTGACTGTAGTCAAGCTCTCACAAGATTTGCTGATTTTCGTTTACAGGAATCCTGCTTACCAAACTGCAACAGTTACAACAGTTGGACAAATTGTTACGTTAACAATTATGACATCTACAAATGTTTTATAAAAACTAATTTAATAAAATCACTGTTGTGAAGACCAAGACTCTTGATCTAATTTTTGTGTAAAACACATTTTTAAACAGAAGATAGTTCATGCTGTTCAACACATCACCAGTTTCCTGCCCTTTAAGGGAGGTGGAAGTTACTGTCTTTGACCCCTCTGTGTCAATCTCAATCTCAGGAGATTGGTGTGCAGAAGCTCTTCAGCTGCCCGTGTCTCAATAGTTCTTCTACTTAAAAGAGGAGAAAATGTCTTAATGACAACACACCTCAAAGGACTACACCCACCTAGAGTAGGCCTGTTGAATCAGTGGGGATTTGGTGGGCCAACTCCTCCATAAGTTCCATTGATTTGAATGGGACTACCTTTAGTGTAGCAAGTTGCAACTACCATAGAGAATGTCTCTGAATCAATGGAACGTATAGAGGAGTTGACTCACAATTAAGTGATCCTACTTTGGTGCAATTTACTGTGCAACAGGATTTCAGTCAATGCTTCAAGTCCACTGAAGTCTAGAGGCAGTAAATAATATGGTTACTCTTTTTTCATTATTGGTTTGCAGAAGATTCTTCACGTACACATTCAGACATTGGGTTTGGCTGGGACTGAAGGAATCCTCAGTGGTAAAAGCTGGGAAGGAAATCCTGGGAGTTTATTATATCTACCCCTGTTGACTGCTTTCTTTTAAGTGGGACCAGAGCCTGAGATAAATCTCCAGAAAAGATACTGGGCATTTTGCATGTGTCCTTTTATGCATGGTACACAACTTTTCCTGCAACAACATCACCATGACTTCCCCTCTTTGGGAAAGTCCACAAGATTAGAGGTATTCTCACCCAATGTCGACTGTATTGTGGGCAACACCCAGGAGTTGTATGTGATCTGTTGCGGCATCTCAATAATTTATTTTATTTTTTATTTTTAAACTTAGAACCGTTCTAGCTTCCAAGACCTTTGTTAAATTAAGGAATGATATTACTAGAAGAAAGTTGCCTTTAGTTTTGCTATATTTTATCCTGTATTTTGTGAACTGAATTCCCTTGCATTGAGGGCTATAGCTCCAATTCTAACTTCTTTCTTTAAACAGAAGGAGGGCTTTTTCCTCTTCTTTGGGCAGTTTCATTCAGTTTTGAAATGCAGAGAAATGTAAATATAAATGATGAGGAAAGAAAGTATTGAACAACATATGGTGAGGACATTTCTCTCCATCACCTCTTCTACATAGGGTTCCAGTGTCTTGTGTGTTTCAAGCTCCTGGCATGTATGCTTGCTTTCAGTGGCTGCTACTGTTCTACCTCAGTTAAAATGATTGTCAGCCCTCCAGAAAGAACAGGGTGTCAGAGGGATTCACTTGTAAATGTATTTCTCCAAAGATGATGATATGCAGCTCAAAGCCCCTCTCCCACACTTCTGTAACAGGAAACATGCTGAAAGATCAGATACGACCTAACAAATGTTCATCCTGCCTGAGGATGAAAGAGCATACAAAATCAGTTTAAAAAAACAATTGTAGATCACAGCAATAGAACTCAATATTATAATACAATAAAAACCATAGTGCTGAAAATGGAAGCTATGGAGTATTGCATAAATTGAAAGGAAACAATAACAAAAAAATCAATGGAAGCTGATGACTTCCAACTCCAAAGCTCTAAACTGGGTTTTAGTTTTTCTGTTAAGTGTAATCTGCATACTTTTGCTACTATATACTATTTTGCTATTTGGCTACCGGCAGGTATTCCAAATTGTCAACTGGTGGAACAGACTTAAAGTCTCTTTCCATTACAGAGTCGTAGAATCATAGAATAATGAATGGCCTATAAGGCTATTGAGCCCAACCCCTTGCTCAATGCAGGAATCCCAACCTTTGGTTCCAACATGCTATCTAGCAGTTCATATACCTGACAGATGGTTCTCTAATTTTCTTTTGAATATCTTTAGTATTGGAGTGTTCACTGTCTCCTGAAGTGATTTGTTCTATTGTCATACTGCTCTAACAGGAAGGTTTCCCTGATATTCAACTAAAATCTGGTTTCCTGTAAGGTGAGCCCATTATTACATGACCTGCCTCAGGAACAGTCTAGAATAGATCTGACAATTTTCAAACATATGAAAGTGCTATATCTCCTCTCAGTGTTGTTTTCTCAAGGCTAAACATGCTCAGTTCTTTCATCCTTTTGTCAAAGGGCTTGGTTTCCAGTCCCCTGATCCAGAGGTCATCAACCCCCGGTTTGCGGCCCAGTGCCGGTCCGTGGCCTGAGCCAGACCGGGCCACGAAGACAGACCTCCCGCCCCCGCACGCACGCACTCCCCTCCCACAGCTGTTTTGTGCACATGCGCGCGTGCCAGCGCCGGCATGAACGCTCCCCCACTGCTTTGCACATGCTCCCAAGAGCACGCATGCACTCGAGGGGCCCCCGCCTTCCTCGGACACATCCCACAAGAAATGCTGGTAGGTCCCCATCGCTGCATAGTAATTGGCTACCCAATTAAAGGCTGGTGATGAGTAAAGCCACCAGCCCATTGCATCCATGCACTGACTATCCCTATTAGTCAGGATCGCGCTCTGCCTCTGTCAGGGTTGTGATTGAGAAGCCTCCACAAAGAGGTGTGGTAGAGACTGGATTGTACAGATGATCCTCCGGCTCTGTACAGGGCCTATGGGTGTTGATATCCAGAAACTTTGCCATTCATATCAGCAGCTGAGCATGTTTGAAAATCCTCCACTGGAGAGGGAGAATCTTGGTTTACCAGGTCCAACTCTGGTGAGGTAAGAAGAATGGACGGAGTCTCCGGTGGAGATCCTTGGTCAAAAGGTTTGAGAGGAACCCTCCGAGTGCCTGCCTCTTTCAGACTTGTAGCCTGACCCCAAATGGTACTGCAGAGGCCAAGGGGAGTAATGGTATTGAGAGGTTGATACTGAAGTCGCCACATTGGGGCCCAGAGCCTGGCGTTGGTGCTGAGCAATGTTGACAGACGTTGGCCTACAATGGTGGCATGAGGTTGAGTCAACAATATTCAGGCTCTTCTGAAGGACATCTATGTCAAGGTACTTCTCAGTGTTGACAGGCTGCTGTCAAGTCCCATGGAAGCTCTCTGGCTTGCATCCGAAGAGGCGAGGGTGACCTCAAGGAATGGTCCACCTGTCTCAGAAAGTAACATGTGGCTGGTGCCGCAAAGGCTGTCAAACTATTACCATTCAAACTATTTGCACTACATAGGGAAAAGAGAAAGCACGTTTTGCAATAGAGTTCAGTTGTGGAGCTTCAAGATTAAATGGATTTGTTGGTCACAGAAATAATTAATAACTAATTTTTTATTAATTAATTAATAATCCATTATTTGCTATTCAGTGCAGCTGATGCAATTAGCAACCATGTTGAAATATGGCTGATATATTTCAGGTACTGCTTCTCCAAACGTGGCTTCCTAGCCTGAATCAAACTTTCCACAGATGCTCCAGTATTTCTCCTAGACAGTCTAATTCACCAGCAGGTCATTCAAACAACAACCTGTTTGGGGATCCTTTAGAAGCATGTTCACTACATCATAAAAGTGGTTGTCATACGCCAGCTTGTAATACACATAGATATCATCACAATAGGTCAACAGCTTCTTCAGGTTTTTCAGAGCAGGATCATTGCCTTTGTGCTGTGTGCATCTGAAACAAAAGGTCTCAGTGTTAACAGAGGATTGGCCCAACTCAACCCAGCCTGCCTCTTACAGCGTTTTGCTTCTACCATTCAGCCCTCCATGTTCATTTAATCCAGTGCTCAAATTGCAATAGGAAAGAAATATGTGGGACAAATCCAGTAAGTCGTCACCGGAATAAGAACTACCTCCTTTCAGTGCTAGACACATCTCCCAGACTGAAGAATGTGAGGACACAGAGTAGGCATCCCAACTCTATTTAGAGAATGCCTCCACATTAGAGAACAGGGGTGAAAACAGTCATATGACTGCCAAGAAAACTCACTTCTGAGCAATTTCCTCAATGGTGCTGGCCTTGAGCAGACCACGCTGCTTATACTCCTCCAGGTAGCTGAAGTCACCATTCACAATCACTTGCCGATACAGGACTTCAGCCCAATCTGGAATAAAGGCGTAGGCTTCAGCCACAATTGCAGCCTGAAGAGAGGGAGAACAAGAGGGAAAGCAAAAAAGATTCCAGCAGACATTAGGATACTGAAAAATGTACATTGCTTCTCTTCCCTAGCAGGACAATGATCGTAAGTCAATTCTCCAAAGATCCTGAAAAAACAATAATCTAAAGATAAATCAAAACCATCATAGTGGACAACATTATAGATAATTCTTCACTGGAGGTTTTCTGAATATCTTATGAGATATAGTGAAAGCCAGAACCTTGGGGAGGGGGAGGGATGTATTAAGGAGACATGTTATGCAAAAAAAAAAATCAATATGGTAAGAAGCCAAATTTTTGATGCAATCAGTATCTTTAGCTTAGAAACAAAATGTACACTAAATGTACACTAAACGCAGAAACTAAACACTGTTTTGTTAAGGTTTCTTAATGAGAAAGGAGCAGAAAGTCGGACTCTAGGAATTAATCAAAATTTAAAGTACAATTTTTGTAACCAAATATTTTACAAGTTTAGTAATAAAAAATCTAAACTATTAGCTTACTATATAAAAAGGTAAATATGACAAATGTTCACCTATTAGAATAGAATTTGAAGATTTCACTCATGAAAAATTAACAACACGTCTGGCAATTTTTTGTCAAATTTTATTCTTTTAACAATTCCAGTAGTATTTTAATTGAATTGTTGCAGAAGGCCAATATCAATAAATTGTCTGATAATTATAGAATAGTTCAATTACAATGGATGAATTACAGGAAAGCTCTCAAGAAATTAAATCCTTGTAAACCTCCTGGGATTGATGGACTCGGTGCACATTTTTACAAAGCTACCATGGATCAATGGGAAATGCCATTATTCTCACCTACATATTAAATGGAGGAATTTTTTGCCACAATCATGGGCTAGGTCTAATATTAATCTCTTTTTAATTTCAGATAAATATATAGAAAAGGTTGACTCCTACCATATTACTCCAGTAAATCAAGTCTGCAAAAGGCTTACAAGCATTTTAACAAACAAGATGGGTAAAATAATTTTACCTAACAGGATGATTAAAAAAATGAACTAGTTTTAGATTTATAAATATCAAATTTCAAGTCCCATACAGAGGTTTTTTATCTGATGCATGATAGTAGCCATAATGCTATAGCATCTTTTGACATTACAAAGGCATTTGATAAGGAGGAATAGGTTACTTTTGAAAGTAATGGATCTAAGTTCATCTTTTCTGGTATTACCAGGGGTAATTAGGGACTAACATACCTGTTTCCATTTTAATTAAGTGTGGAACAAAACAGACTTGTTCATTTATCACCATGATTGAGAAATGAACCATGGTGATAAAGCCGCCTAGAGTGGTCGTTCAACTAGATAGGTAGGGTATAAATACAATAAATGAATGAATGAATGAATGAATGAATGAATGAATGAATGAATGAATGACAATCAATCAATCAATCAATCAATCAATCAATCAATCAATCAATCAATCAATCAACAAACAAACAAACAAACAAACAAACAAATGGTCATTGCTCTGACCCTAGGCCATCAAGCAATTTATTAATTCAAGATCCCCTTTTATCCAGAGTACAGAATAATAGACATAGATATCTTTTGATTTTTGTTGTTGTTGCAGATGATATGGTAGCATCAGTTTCACATTCTTTTTACAGTGATTTCAAGAATACTGGATATTTCAGAATTTTATTCAGTATCTAGTTTACGGATCAACATTAAAAATCCCAAGCATTAAGTCTTAGTATATTATACCAAGGAAGGACATCTCTTCAGAAACTAACATATACAGTGGTGCCTCTCATAATGAGCGTCCCGTTTAATGACGAATCCGCATAGTGATGTGGATTTTGCGATCGCTTTTGCGATTGCATTGCAATGTTTTGAATGGGGGAAATCGCATTGTGACGATCGGTAAGCGTTTCGCTTACCGATCTTCGCATTGCGATGTTTTCCCAACAGCTGATCGGCGGTTCCAAAATGGCCGCTGGGTCAAGAAAATGGCAGCTCGCAGCGTTTTTGCACGGATTCCTCCCTTACGAAGGCAGCGAAAATGGCGGCCGGATTGAGGATTTCCGCTTAGTGGTGATTTTCCCCCCATAGGAATGCATTAAACAGGGTTTAATGCGTTCCTATAGGGTTTTTAGCCCCGTATAGCGACGTTTCCGGATAGCGACGATTTATCTGGAACAGATTATCGTCGCTATGCGGGGCACCACTGTATCCCCATTATAAACACCTTTGTAATATATTTAGAGGTAATAATACCAGTTAATTGACTGGATAGCTCAGTGAGCTAGGTTTCCTGTTGCGGAGCAAGAGACTGGGAGTCGAATCCCCCCTTGTGCATTTCAGAGGAGCCAGCCTGTGTGGCCCTGGGCAAGTTGTACTGTACTAGGGCAACCCTAAAAGAAGGGAATGATGGAGCTGGGAGTCAGAATGAAATCATCCTCTGACTCATGAAAACTCATGAAAAAGAGAACAAGTCTGAAATCTCCCTGTTGGATCTGGATAGGGCATCAATATGAAGACGTACAGTAGATGATGAGACTGAGTTTGCATTGTCACCCTAGGAGAAGGAACATGGAAAACTATTGGAAGAGTTGCATCGAGATCAAAGAGAAGCAAGGACTTTTAAAATTAATTTTGAAACACGTAGAAGTACAAAAGGAAAACTACAGAAAAAGAAAAAATGTCATACATTTTATATATTTCAAGGACAACTGACAGTCTGTTTACATCGTTTACATAGCCTCCTTATTTTGACATCTATACTATGCGTATTATTCTAAACAGTGTGATATTTTAGTTTTTGTTAACATTTTAGAATGTGAACTCTACTTGTTATACATAACACTTTTTGCAAAGTTGGTTCTGTACCCTTTCTAATGATTTATAATAGTCAAAATAGTCCCCACACTTTTTTTCAAATTCTCTAACTGATCTTCTGTTGACGTAATTTCTGAGTTTTGCCACTGTGGCATATTCAAGCATTTTACCTCTCCAACCTTATTTTGTCAGTCATGTCTCCATTTTCAACTTGTTGCTATTACTACCCTAGCTGCTATCAACATGTATTTGAAAAGTTCTTGCAAAGTGTTTCCCAAATTGTATTCGCGAAGGCTTCCCAAATTATCTGGAGTTATTGCCAAGAGCATGATCTCTTGTTTCATTTCAAATTCAATTTTCAGAATCTTTTGCATTTCAGAATGTCTTTTTGCAAGTGCACCACATGTGGTAGTATGATCCTTCAGCTTGTTGGCACTTCCAAAAGAGTGGCATTTGTATATAGACAACAGGGATTGTGTGACTTGTGGCCTGCTTTCTTTGTACATTTTTATAAATACTATTATTAATGTTAATGTTAGAATTGTTTTGTCTGTTCCTATTACTGTATGTAAGGCTTTATCTATCATTATCTCTGGAGCTTCTCTCTCCCTCCCCCTTCCAATTCAGTTTAAAGCCCCGCCGGGCGCCCGGGGTCCGCGGCGATGTCGGCCGCCCACCCGACCCGTCTTGAAACACGGACCAAGGAGTCTAACACGCGCGCGAGTCAGAGGCTCGACCCGAAAGCCCCGTGGCGCAATGAAGGTGAAGGCCGGCGCGCGCCGGCCGAGGTGGGATCCCGAGGCCGCCGAGCGGAGGGCGCACCACCGGCCCGTCTCGCCCGCCCCGTCGGGGAGGTGGAGCGTGAGCGCGCGTGCTAGGACCCGGAAGATGGTGCTTTGGCTAAAATCTTATCTTTATGCTAAAAATGCTAATGATGGTACTTAATAAAAAGACATGTCTGGGGGAAGAGGAAGGCAGACATCTTCTTCACCGGTGATATGCTTCATAAATAAAGACTGCAGTCTGTTTTTCTTTATCAGAGATCTTTCCTTGGTTTTAATGCAACTGCTGCTGGGCTGGCCCCAGTGGCGGTTCCCTGGGGATTTCCCCACACTTATCATCTAGGAAGCTTAGCCTGAGATCCCAAAAATCAAACTCCTCGCTTTGGCACCACCTTCGTGGCCAGTCATTCGCCAAGAGTATTTTCCTTTCCCTCTTCCAAGTACTGGTAGGACGGATGAGGAAAATATCTGGGCTCCAAAATCCTTACGTTGCCTTCCCAGAGCTTCAAAGTCTGATGCAATCTCTTCAAAGTTGCTCTTGACTGTGTTGTTTGTTCCCACATGGATGAGAAGAGAAGGATTTGTATTTGTGCGTTTTATGAGTGATGACAATTCTTCTGTCATATCCCTAGTCTGTGCTCCAGGGAGACAGCATACCTGGAAGGTCCATGGATCTTCTCAGCATACTTCAGGCTCCATCTCATACTTCATGTTCTATTTCAGTCCCTCTCATGTGCTCCTCTTTGTCTGCTTGCTGTCTCCCAGATTCCTCATCAAGAACCTGAAAGCAGTGTTGAAGTTCCACCAATGAAGATAGTCTTCTTCTTTTGCTCCTACCCGTGACTCTTTTCCATGGTGCTCCCTCCACTATGTTTGCTCTCTTCTCAGCATTCTCCTTCTCTGCCTTCCCTGATTGCTCTTCCCCCTCCAGTGCCTCCACTGACTGCTACTTCTGCTCAAGAGTTCTGTCAATATCTGTCATCTTTCCTTATAGCCATTGTAGCTTTAAGTGTGGCTACTCACTTCTCCAGTTCTCTCTTTTTCGTCTAACAGTGCCATGAGTTTGCTCTTGCTGCATGTGTACACCATGTTACACTCAGGAACAAAAGACAAACATTGCAGATCACCACAACTGGAGAGTCCCTTCTTTCCATAATCCCTGTTAGCTTTTAGTTTTGATATTTTTCTCTGTAAATACCATTTTCCTTTATTTTGTTACCTTGAACGTAACTGAGAAAGTCCATG